GTCTACGAGCAGGCCAACTGGGAAAAGTAGAGTCCAGGGAGCAGTGACATTCGCAAAATCGCTGCGAAGCTGAAGGCCATGTACGGCGTTGGACCTCGCAGGGGAATTTATCGACGGCACGAACGCCGCCGCGTCCACGCAGGGCGGGATGGTCGTCCACGGTGGCATCGAACGCAAAAAACTCATTGCCAGGACAGCAAGGCGGATCCTGGACGACATCGACGTGAGCAAACCCTTCCAGACTCGCACCGAGGTTACGCTATGCATAGTGGCAGTTGTCCGCGTGTACCACAGGAAGATAAGCAGACGCTGCCTTCAGGCAAGACGAGGTTGCAGATGCGCAGGCGTGCAGCCCAAGCAGAGAGGCTGAAGTGGATGCTGAATGCGGCTCGGATTCGTTCCAAGATGACTCGGGAAGCGCGTGTCTTATTGCCCGCAGATTTCTGGGGTTTTTTTGGAAGCATTGCTTTGTTCTGCAATTCCGGGCGCCGTCGAGATGCGCAGCATGGTTCGTCAACTCTGCACGTCGACGCTAGCTTCGAAACAACGATCAGAAAACAGCGAAGCTGTCAACACTCTGCGCCGCAGGCACCACATCGAATGAGCCTTTTCCACATGGAGCTCAAGCGGTGTTTCTTCCAGCCAGAACACGCACGCACGTTTGCCCTCTGGCTCGCCGCCATCCACGCCGCCAAGCTGATGACGCAGAACCCGGCTCTGCACCGCCAAACGCCCGCACAGGTGCCGCAGAGCCGCCTGTTTCATCGCTTGGCGGGGGCGACGGAGCTGTTCGGCCTGGCGACCTGAGAACGACGGGGCGCCCCTCTTCGCGCTGACGTCGCCGCGCAGAAGGCCTCCTCTCCCTTGGCCGCCGAGAAGACAGCGCTGCAGGCGCGGGCGTCTCAGCGGTGCGCAGCGAAAGGCGCTGCCGGGCACCGCCGCGGCAGAGGCAGCCGGAAGCGCACTGTGCTTTCTCCGCAGAAGCGCCCCGCCGCAAACTTGAAGGAGTTGTAGATTTCCACCAGCGAGTTAGAGGTGGCTTCTTGGAGAGATGCCATGATAGAGACGCGATGGACCAAGAACAAAAAGAGAACCCATCGGCGGTTGACGGAAGCAGAATGGAAATCGGAGCGACGTCGGTGGAGAGGGCGGTGAGGGTCGGGGCGGGAGGTCTGGGGAACTGACGGACGTGGGGTTGGTGGACATGGTGGACTTGGCGGAGTTGATGGAGCTGGTGAAGTTGGTGGAGTTGGAGGAGCTGGTGGACTTCATGGAGTTGGTGGAGTTGGTGGAATTGGTGGAGTTGGTTGCATGTCCACCAACTCCACCAACTCCACCAGCCCCACCAACTCCAACAACTCCACAAACTCCCCGAACTCAACCAATTCCGCTAACACTACCAACTTCACCAGCTTCACCAACTCCACAAACTCCACCAGCTCCATCAGCTCCGCCAACTCCACCAGTCCCACCTACTCCACCAATTCCACCAACTCCACCAACTCCACCAACTCCACCAACTCCACCAACTCCAGCAACTCCACCAGCTCCACCAGCTCCGCCAACTCCACCAATTCCATCAACTCCAGCTCCACCAACTCCACCATCTGCTGGAGTGTGGTGGCGTTGGCGGAGCTGTCTGAGGTGGTGGAGCTGGTGGAGCTGGTGGAGTTGCTGGAGGTGGTCGAGTTTGTCGGTCCCGCCTCCAATCGACCACTTCCACCGGACGCGAAGCCGATGAAGCCACCGAAACCAACACTCTTGGTAGAATTAACCCCCTCAGTCATAAAAATATATGTACATATGTGTATATATATATATATACAAGACTGCAGTGGCGCTTCGCGCCATGCACCTTGGTCCTTGAAGATTGGTGCGCAGGCGGAATGGCAGGAAGGTCAAGCGGACAATTTTGTGATAAATCCTTGCTGCCTTTTCTGGCATCGCCGTCATTATAACTGGGAGCCGGCGGTAAACCGTAAACCAGGTTACCGCCAGAAGCCTCGTAGAACTCTTTTCTCGCGCGGCGCCGCTCGGAACACGCCAAAGGAAGCTTTCTCAAATGTGAGCTCAAAAAGTCGAAAAACACGTTTTTCAGTTTTCATACAGAATGGGTTCCTTCAAGTGATTTGATAGTAATACTGCAGCTACGGAGCTGAGGATTTAACTGACAAGCGCGGCATAACCCACTACAGGTGCGAAAAATACTGATTCTCAGACCGAATTTCAAAATCTCTCACAGTCTGCGAAAAACCGGCCCCAGGTTGACACAGTGCCCGCCCGGGCCGGGTCGGCCAACTAGCTCCAGCCCGCGCCGGAATTCCTCTAGCTCATCGGTGCCGAAGAGCTCTACGAGGTATGTTGTTCGCAATCCCTCCTCAATGCTTAGTCTTCATCATTCTTGCCGCACCCTGGGTATTCGCCCCATCTTTCGCAGCTATTTCTGCGGAGGCTCCTTCTTTGAAGGGGAATTGGGACTCACAAATAAATACACACAAATAGAAATATCCCCCATATTTTCCTATATTTTGGGGTTTTTTGTCTTCCCCCCCACTTCCCATACTTTCCTATATTTTCTGGGAATCGCCGATGAATTGTGTCTGTGTGTTTTTTCCCCTCCTGATTATTGGAGAGCCTCCGGGGGCTTCCCCAACGGGCGCTGGCAACACACCGTCAACCTAAAGTCGCCGCCGGGATCCTCGTAGAGCTCCTCGCACGCTCGAGGGCGCTCGAAGAGAAGCAGAGAGCTTCAGAGATCATTTCTCAAAAAGTCCAAAGACCATGATTTTTGTCATGCCGACCTAAACTCGGTTCCGCCAAGTGTTTTGACAGTAAAAGTGCGCCTGCAGAGCTCATAACAAGACGCAGAGACCCTCATAGTCTTTCCCAGGTGCGAAAAATCTGGCTTCTCAAAATGAATGGTCAAATATCTTTCAAATCTTGGTGAAACCGACCCAAAGTCACCACATTCTCCTTTCTGGTCGGGTCGATCAACTAGCTTCACCCCGCGCTGGAATTTCTCTAGCTCATCGATAACGAAGAGCTCTACGAGATAAGTTATCAGGCTTTCTTGAAACCTTCTGGAGGCCTCTTGGGCGTGTTCTGGGGGCCTGGGGCTTTCTAAGGCCAACATGCCTCGAACCGCAGTCTCGCTGAACGCCCCAGTCACGATTTCGAATGCTTCGGAGGGTGTCTTGGAGTCGTTTTAGGCCGCCATGGGGCTCTCTTACGGCCATTTTGGACCCTGTTCGGACCTGCTGCGGCCCCGGCAACTCGCTGCGACTGGAAGCCGGCGGCGAACCGTCAAACAGGTGACCGCCGCAACCGCGTGTCAAGATGACCCGAAAAGGCCGATTCCGTCGCAGTGCTTTTTGGCAGTAATATCTACCCGATCGATCTGAGATTAAGACGGCGAGTGGGAATAAGATCGAATATCACTGGAAAAAATACTAGAGCTCAAACGAATCGTTGAACTTCGAAAACAAAATTTTCAACCGACCAAAAGCCATAAAAAATTGGAACCCGCGGCAAACCGTCAACCAGGTTACCGCCAGGGCCCTCGTACAGCTCTTTTCTCGCACGGCGCTTCTCGGAACACATAAAGAAAGCATCTGGAGCAAGACCTGAAAAACTCGAAAAATCACGCTTTACGTTTTTATCCAAAGACGGTTCCACCAAGTGTTTTGATAGTAATACTGCACCTACGGACCTGAGAGTTTGACTGGCAGGCGCGGCATAACCCACTAAAGGTGCGAAAAAAATGATTTCTTAAAATGAGTTGTCAAATATCTTTCAAATCTCAGCAAATCCGACCCAAAGTTACCACATCTTCTTTTCTGGCCGGGTCGACCAACTAGCTCCACCCCGCGCCGGAATTCCTCTTGCTCATCGATAACGAAGAGCTCTACGAAGTATTCCGTCGAGATTTTTCTGGCCAACTAGCTCTCCAGCGCCCCAAAACTTGGTAGCGTCCACATGGTGGCGTCCAAAACCCGGAGAGCAAAGAGAACACACACACACACACTGGGCGCCGGCGGTAAACCGTCAACCTTTCTCACCGCCGGGGGACTCGTAGAGCTTCCTGACCATATATTATTTCAAAAAAAAAAAAATAGCAGACAACAAATAGTTGTTCAGCCCGAGCAATTTCAGACCTCTCGATGCAACAGCCGAACGCCCCTGATGCTTCTGGATCGTTTTCTGTGCGCACCAGCTCTGTAGCTCTCCTACAGCCCGAGTTCAATATAGAAAAGGGACAACATCTGTCAAGGTGACTTGAAGAATACGAATAGTTTTGCGCACCCAGCCCGAGTAGCAAACCCAGTTCAGACCTCTGGATGCAACAGACGAACGCGCATGATGATTCCGGATCAGTTTCTGTGCGCATCAGCTCTGTAGCTCTCCTACAGCCCGAGTTACGTGCGAAAACTGACAGCGCCTCCCAAGATGACTCGAACAATAGGAATAGCTTCGCGAACTTAGCTCGAGTAGCAGATCGAGTTCAGACCTCTCGATGCAACAGACGAACGCGCCTGATCATTCTGCATCGGTTTCTGCGCGTATCAGCCCTGTAGATACCCTAAAGCTCGAGTTAAGTACAGAAAACCGACAGCCCCTGTTGAGATGACTCGAACGATACGAATAGTTCTGCGGACCTGGCTCGAGTAGCAGACCCAGTTCAGACCTCTCCATGCGACAAGCGGACGCGCCTGATGTCTACGAATCGGTTTCTGTGATTACCAGCCCTGTAGCCGCCCTACAGCCCGAGTTAAATGCAGAGCACCTCTCAAGATGACTCGAAGAATACAAATAGTTGTTCGAACCTAGCTCAGGCAGCAGACCGAGTTCAGACCTCTGGATTCAACAGACAAACGCGCCTCATCATTCTGAATATGTTTCTGTAAGTATCAGCTCTGTAGCTGTCCTATAGCTCGAATTAAATACAAAAAACCGACAACACCTGTCGAGATGACTTGAAACAGCCGATCCCGCCCGTGTGC